AAAGTAGTCTTACAAAAAACTACAGAGCATAAACACTTCTTGCCAGTGTGAACACTTTAGCATACAGAAAGTGGGACCAAAGAGCTTAAGGAGAACTCAATGGGGTTATCTCTGTGGCTGTTTATCTGTCCCAGAGTTCCTCCTGCGCAGGGAGTAAAAGCCTTGAAAATGCTACTCCTCTGCAGCCTGTTTGCTTCAGACGGGTGTGTGAAAAGCGGAGGAGGGGTGTTTTGGACTGTGTGTGTCTGTCTTGAAGAAGAAGCCAAGGGATGGGAGGGGGGTGTCTGATGAATAGGAAGACAGGTCCGCCGCTCAGCTTTCCCCACTGCTGGAGCTTCCCATCATGCTTTGCATGCCCTCTCACAGAACTCTTTATGGCCTTGGGTTTGGCGCCAGATCTCCCACACACTTGCCAACAGCAACAAGTTTTTTTGTGAACTCTCCACTATCACCATTTTCCTACAAGTTCCACATAAAACAGCGTGGTAAAATGTTTCTGACTTTTACGGCATGTGAGGAACTCTGATAAGTTTGTCAAGAGACCGGCCCAAAGCCTTAATTTGACAGTACAAATAACCAGAGCATGACTAGAGCAACATTGCACAGGCCTACAGACAGTAAAAAGTATCAACAAAGTGTCAGATGAGGCTCAATGGGTGTAGCGAACATAAACGCCTCTTTACTTTTAACAGACGGTTGTTTGAACATCTTTGAACTTCACATATTGAATTACTTTGAGTGTCTGGTAAAAGTGCTACATTAAGTACTGAAATGGAAAGAATATTTGTTCTAATCTGTATGAGCCTACACATATAAACAGTAAGTTATTATAACCTCGCCTCGTGCACCACTTCAATGTCTTCTGGGAATGGTGTGTTTATCCGTTCAGCCAGTCATCTCTCATCCCTTATGTCTTACAGGATGTGAAGATATTCCGAGCGCTGATCCTGGGCGAGCTGGAAAGAGGGCAGAACCAATACCAGGCCCTGTGCTTCATCTCTCGCCTCAGCCGCAATGAGATCATCCCCAGTGAGTCCATGGCCCGTCTCAGACAGGTATGACAGAGCAGATCAGGCGGCATTTAAGTGTTTTATTATGAAAAATGGAACATTTATATGTTCCCATATAAACACAAGTGTGAAAACTGATAATTTGTGATGTCTACTCAGAAAAATCCTCAGGCCATCCGTTTGGCAGAGGAGCGGAGAGGACTGGAGCAGCTGACAATGAGCGTGGCGGTCAACCTAAGTCGGGCCTGGCAGCTCAGTTCCCACATCCACAACATGTGCAGTGAGGCCCGGGAGGCCATCTACACCAGGGAGGCTGATGTCAAACACTGGCTGGACAAAGGTCAGTGGTCTGTTGGTTCTCCTCTGTTGGTGATTTGTACAAAATGTCTGCCTGTAGTCCTATCTCTTTCCCCTCCCATCCCTCCTGATTGCCTCTATACACTATATGCCTGTACTGACACTCTTTATCTCCCCAACACTCTCTATCTTCCCTGTTTGTATCGGCTAAGCACCTCTTTCCTCTTCATTTTAGTGATATTACTCCAAGTGTTATCTCTGCCTTTTTGTTGATAAGGCTCTATTACTGTTCACGCTATCTATGTTAACCAGTTGTCTCTTTTAATTCCTGATAAAAGCACCCCGCACACGGGTTTTTAGGTACATTTATTTCTCTAAACAGTCGGAGAAATAACTGGTGACATGATTGTACAAAAATACCTAAATTGACTATTTGTTTTTAAAGGCCGTCATGCAGTGGGATCCAGTATCTTAATGGCAATGAAGTTCAAATTATCCAGGCTGAGGAGAATCCATATGACAGCAGTATTGTCCATTGACAGCACTGTTACAGAGGAAACAATGTTGATGGTCATGGTTCACCAAGCAGTCTGCACCATTATCAGCCGAGGGATTCACAGTAGCATCTCTTTTGCATAACAAAGCTCCCCTTTTACTGCACCATCTCCCCTCTTTTAAGCCACTTTGTTCGCCCCCTCCTGTTCAATACAGTATTTAATTGAGTGAAATCATAGAGAGAATGATTCACATAACTCTATGATAGCTCGCTTTTGTTTTCAGTACCACATGCTTGGATAATAATGCCCCTCTCCTGTCTGTGTTATAGGAGTGGATGGCTCCTTATTTGAGGTCCTGCCCCAAACAACGGAGGCGCCCAACTTTCAGGCCTGTCACTTTACGAAAGACTTGTGGCAGCCCTGTCTCTGCACATACAGCCTGCGTCTGGAATGGTACCCATGTCTGCTAAAGTACTGCCGCAGCCGGGACACCACAGGCAAAGGCTCTAACTACAAGTGTGGCATAAAGAGCTGCAGCAAGGGTTACCATTTCACCTACTATGTTCCTCAAAAACAGCTGTGTCTATGGGACGAGGAGACCTAGCATTTTGTTCTGGATGGTTAAGAAAAGAGAAATACATTTTTCCCAGCCAAGCCAATGCTTCTCCACCCATGCTATTCAAAGTAAACACAGTAAGACTGGACCTAGGTTTATGATGGTAAGTGAAGCAGTCTCAGGTGGGGAGTGGTGAGATCCAGATGTTCAAGCTGAAACTGAAATGAATTCAGGTTCCAAATGAGACCAAATCCTTGACAAGGAAGGAGAGATGCAGGCCACAGTCGTTCAAAGAGGGACCCACTAACTTTAAGTCTTTTCTTGAACATGTGACATAGAGTTGTCAGCTATAATGTGACTTTGCCAAGATGCTGTCACTTTTGTGCCTTTATTGTGGAGAAATTATTGGAGCAGATGACAGACAGACAGACAACAACAGTAACCTCTCAAACAAGCTACGGTATGCACAAAGCTTGGACAGTGCATTTCTGCTCAATTAAACACCAGCAGAGGAACAGCAGAGTCCCACTCTAATCAAAGGAGTCATACAAACACAAGCTTCCATTCTGGTGAAGGAAAATGTGGATGGTGGATTTATCTTTCTTACAAAGCTATGTGAAAAAACAGTTTATAGCCAGCAAAAACGCCTGTTTATAACAATGTAAGCTGGCTGACAAAGAAAATGCTTCTCCAATGCTGGCTTTATTTATTTTAGTTGCAAAGAGAAATTATGGAGGATTATTTTTGTATATTTTTTTTTTGTTTGCTTTTAAAAATAACCTCATCCGTTTTCTTTCCTTTTTGCATTAAACAAGCTCTTAAAGGCACATGTCTGAACCACAGGTCCTCAATAACAAGAAGTATTCAAACACATTTCAGAACATTTTAACCTCTTGCATTTTGGATGTTGTTTCTAGGCTCATCCACATGCCATGCTACTTTGTTGCCAAGTTTTCATGGTTATACAGAGAGTAGGGATAAACAGGTGTAGTATATTCTTTAATAGGACAGTTTTGGTTCTGCTTTCCCCATCATGTCCACCAACCACACTCTCATTCTGTTTTCAAAAGTGTCAAATAAACCAAAGTCAAAGGAAATCCTGTCAAAAGAAGGGTGTAATATTTCAGTTTCTAGAAACAGACTCTTCAGTATGGTGTTTTTCCATGTTGAGTTCACTAAAACTGCAGTGTGGCCTTTTTTTTTAAACAAACAATACTGCCCTCTTCTGGATAAACAGTGTTTCTGTTGTATCCAGTTGCCAGAATTCTGGTTTTTGGCTTCTGGGTTTACGTGTTCATGTCCACAGTTTATAATTTATGAATTTTATATCCCTGATCATTTTCATATGTAATTCAAGGAGCACTTCTTGAACATGTGGGACCAAATTTCATTTTGTCCGTTTGTTCTTTAGAGCAATAGGTTGAAGTATAATTTTGGTTTGTCTTACCTCTATATTCATTTCAGTCTTTACTGCCATATCAAATCTTCTTTTTTTATGTGTTGGTATGTCCTGCTAACTAAAGAACCAAATGAGTGAAACATTTCTATTTGTGGCCTTTTCTGGTGATCAAGTGCCTTAACATTTCCACTGATATATTTGCTATGTAATTGTAGATTAAGTTTGTAAACATATTTTTTCTATGAAAGAGTTCTTTAAAATGTTGTAAAAGGTTGCCATAAAGAGAAAATGAAGCAATTAGGTAATGTACCATTCAAGAGTTGTGTTTTACATTAATTGTTTCAATAAAGTCTTTCTTTGCACTGCATGCAGCATTGTAAGTAACTATTTTGGGGGACATTTTACAGTACATTAAAGAGCTGGCAGGAAATGATAACAAAGCTCACAGGTTGGAATGGGAACTGGGAACATTACATAATCAGCATCTTAAACCCCTTGGTTACCAGGATGCTCCATAATGCTCCATTCTAATGATAACTTGTTGCCTGTGACCCAGTCTGGGGAGGTCAAGCACGAAACTGGACCAAGACTTAAAACCTTGCTTGTGGACACCTCTGCAGTGCTCGCCACCAGGGTTTCAACCCAGATCACGCAGGTAAGATGGTTCTCTGCAACCCTAACACCACCGTGCAGCCTCCTATTACACATGTTTGCATGTATTATTATTGTTATGTAGTTCTTCCATTTTGTCCCTCTGCTGGAGGAGAAATTGTATGTAATTCCTGCTATTGACCGCAAGGTGTCGCCACTGTTAAAAAAAAAAAAATACATGAGGCAACATCCCATCGCCTTAGGAAGACATCAAGAAGGATGGAAACATGCTTTTTTTTTTTTGGTTAAATATCTAATACGCCTGCCATAATCTCTAAACTACGGTATAGTAAGGGATAATATAAGCCAGGCTGAACTCTAATACCTGCTACATTTGCATGTACTGCGACTGATAAGGTGGAGGGGAAATGAAGGGATGCTGAGGGAGGCTGTTGTCGTTGCTACCGGCGGAGCTAAAATAAAGGACAACAAACAGCAGCCTTCTTGTGTCTGCAAACAACCCCTTTAAGCGTTAACAGTCCGCTTCAGAAACACACCTTAACTGGACACAAAACACACAGGATGTAGCTAAACGAAGAGAGATGTGCACCATCAAGGTAATGGTATTTTACTGCGTTTGTGAACATGTTACAATCCCATAAGAAAACGCTTTGTTAGCCCCCCCCCCTTTAACGTTAGCTTGCTACCGGTCCGTTTGCTATCTGATCCAGCTAACTGGGTAGTTAGCCGGTATGAGAACATAACCTCTTAAATGGGGGATAAGCTCTGGTCTTCTTGGCCCCTTGCAGTGTAGGAACTTGTAAGATTAGTTTAGCAAGAGAATAAACATTAACTTAACGCTAACACTAATCCAGCTAGCTGCCTTTTGTCATTATTTCCTGTTACAGGTTTCCATGGGAACGTAATTAAAGTGTTATCTCTCATTTAAAAAGCATTAAACAGTCTCAATACCTCTTACCTGTGTATAACTTTATGTAACCATGAAAGGTTAACAAAATCTCCTTTAAACAGGAGTGTATTGGCAACAAATAGCAGCAAATAGGACACAGGTTATAAAACATGTAATTTATAATAAATTACATGAAATCTATCTGTTTAATCATTTTACCTGCTGCACTTTTAGTTTGTGTTATATGCTCTTTATCATATGTTTTATTTATTTCTATATTTGTTGCACGTCCAGATCCCATGTTGGATTTGATCTCTGCCTTTTCTTCTGTGTTACATGTAGGTTGTGTTAATGACAGAATAAAACCAAACCGAACTTAAAGCTCCATATGTCACCCATTCATTGTAGCTGTTCACATGTAAAACGAGAAAACAATGAATTGATCAACTATTTTAATAACTGATTTAATTTCATGCACATTTCCAGCATCTTAAATGTGAGGATGTGATGCTTTAGTAAACTGAATATCTTTGGCTTTCGGTCTGTTGGTTGCAAATCAAGACATTTTGTATCGCAATCCTTAATTTTTGCGTGCTGCTATTTATTGAAAACTGTTTTGGAAAACAGTACCCACATTGATTTGTCCCACTTCATATTATTGCATGGCACAGCTTTCTTGACCGCCCCTTGCTGCCCTGACATCCATGAAGCCATACTGCTGGGCATAACACCCAACACAACAATAATACCGTTTGGATTCATTTATTGTGTTTTAAAAGAGCACATGTAATTTAATAACTAACTTTATCTCTCATGCGAGCTGTCTGAGGCCCAGCACCCAGTAACCTCTCGTCTAGTTTTGAAACTTGGTTAAAGTCTTTGAGACTCGAGTGTACATCTTGTTCCAGTCCAGTGAGTGTGGGCCTGTCCATCTGCATGGTCTCACCTCCTAGCACAAACGTCACAACAGAAGAAGAGACGTCCCCCTCACCCCACCAGACCCTCGGCCTGCCAACTATAGTGCTATTATAGTTCAAGCAAAGGCTAATTGTTGGTCACTTACAAAGGATTGCACAGTCTAAGTCTTTGGACGGTAATGCTGTCTCTTTCTACTGTAAGCGATATTACAGAGCAAGATGTGCCTGTATGCATTTTTTTCTTTCCGTGTTATGTGATTCAAAGTTGCCTTGATGAGTGCTGACAGAGAAGTTTTTGAAAGAAACTCTAAGTTGTTTTTTAGCTGTTTTTCTTGGTTGTTTTTGTTTATAGAAGAGAAGATGGCACTGGTTGTGGTTGGTGCACTCCTGTCCCTGTCCTGCTGGGTCTCTCTCTACTTTATCTTGTGCAACATTAACCGGTCCAGGAGCTACGAGTGGAACTGTCGCCTCGTCACCCTGGTACATGGCATCCTGGCAATCTGCACCACAGCATACATAGGCTATGTGGATGGACCCTGGCCTTTCACTTATCCAGGTAGGACGCTTACCCTCTGTTAACTGTAACTTAAGACATAATTACTAAACAATAAAGGCTGTCATAGTGATACAAAGATATCAAGTAGAAGTAAAACAAACTGAAACTGAAGTCTTTAACATGTTTTAAATGCTACTTTAGTAATTGCCAAGTCATGTAAATCTGTCAGTTTATTAATTATTATTGATTTAGTCTTCTTTGGCTAATTGTTTCAGCTCTACATTGCTTAGTAGTTTGAGTGTAACCCTTCAGCACTGACCAGATGATTTTACCATTCCTATCTTTATTCTGTATGGCACCAAGTTCTTGTTTTCACATGTTGATATTTACAGTTATGTGCTCTCGTCATGATTGGTTTTGCTTGTATTTAAATAACATGCTAAATCCTACATGTTTCTGTTCACGGACGCCAGGTACTAAGAACACCCCTCTGCAGATAAGTGCCATGGTGCTCAGCCTGGGCTACTTCATTTTTGATATGGCCTGGTGTGTGTACTTCCGCACAGAGGGACCCGTTATGCTGGCCCACCACACAATGAGCATCCTGGGAATCCTGTTGACCCTGTGGTTGGGGGAGTCTGGCATCGAGGGCTGTGCTGTCCTCTTTGGCAGTGAAATCACCAACCCCCTCCTGCAGGCACGCTGGTTCCTCAAACAGACAGGACATTACGGGACATGGCTGGGGAACGTTGTGGACATCTTGTTTGTGCTGCTGTTTGTGGTGATGCGAATCTTTGTAGGAGGCACAATGCTGTACTGTGAGCTGATCTCCCCAAGACCCAGATTCTTTATCAAGTGTGGGGGAGTGGCCATGTACGCTCTATCCTGGGTGTTTATGGTGGACATTGTTCGATTTGCCATTCGGAAGAGCAAGAGCTGGCACAAGCCGCAGAGAGACCAACAAGAGACAGTGGCAGCTAATGGCCATGAAGGGAAGAAGGACTAATCGGCTTGTATCGCTCGAAAGGAAATCAGTTCACAATTTCACTTTGGACGTGCAAGGGAAAGTGCAACAAAAATCATTAGTTAAACTGAGAAAAAAGAAAGGTATTTCAAACTCATAGTTTGCTATGTCAAGAAGCATCTGTCTGTAACGTCCAGCACATGTGCATTTTTAAAAAACTCTTTTTTTTTTTTTATGCAGTTATTGCAGCTGAACACATTTGTGTAAAATGTGCAGCTAACAAACAACACAGATGTAGTTTATGTCACTAAAAACCAAAGCACTTTGTATAAATACATGAACAGATGTTGCTTTCAGTTGCAGTGAACTATGGCCTAGTCATATGTGGTGGTGGTGGTTGTTGCTTTGAAGGAAAGCTCAATGTTAGGAAATAAACTGTTTACATGTCATGCCCTAGGTACTTGTGAAACATTTTAGTTATTAAAAAAGTTAGGATTGGTTTTCCTTGTAATCCTGTGGGTTTTTTTGGCGCATGTAAAACTTGCAGATGTGAAAGGTATACTCAGGGAGATGAAGTCATAACAGAAAGTCAGGGTGAATTCCAGAGAAATGTGTGTGATGTGTTTGATTACTTTGTTTATAGTAATTCCTGATAAAAACATTTATCATTTATTATACTGTGTCATGTGAAGGGATTCATGGGAAAGAACCTCTCAATTACGTAGTTCTACACTGGTAATGCTATTTGGATACTTATGTAAACTATAAATGTCATCAGATGTTTGGTGTCAGAATTTGTACTTTATTTAGTATTTTAAGTTGGCTGTGTGAACGTAGACCTGCATGACTTACTTTAATCTTTTTGACAAAAGTCAGACAAAAGATCTGTACGCTGTACTGATAGCTCCGACTTCATTGAATTTAACAGTCATTTTACAGTCTCACAGAGATCTTGTCAAGCAAGACTTGACAATTGAATGTAGTTTATTGTGAGCTATCTGTACAGTGTTCTGCTCCTTTGTCTGACTTCTGTTTCCTTTTTTTTATCCAGAACCTTTAAACATTTTTCAGATGTATGTTCTCTACACTCTGTTTGCCTGAATCTTTGAGACGAACATACCGTCAGGACCAATCAGGTAGTCTCTGACTTGACTTGCAATCATGCATGCAACCTCAACCCTTTTGTTTCTCTCCCCTAAAGTTTTAGATATCTCCATTAAATCTTTACACAAGTCAGCTACACACACACACACAACTAGGGCTGGGCAATAGTTATCATTGATCAGTTTTCAGTGGAATCATCATGGCGAGATGATATCCTCATATCACGTTGTTGTTTTAAAAAGTTGTCCACTGTAATAATTCCAAACATACTAACATACAAAAATAGCTATTTAAGTTTAAGTTAAGTGTGAGGTGTTCTGTATGAGTTGTAGTAATTTATGTGTGATTTTTGCCTACATTTGCCACAAGGTGATTAGAAAAATATTCATCTTAATATTACGATATTGATTTAAACCCTTTTGGCCAGACGCAACGCACAAGTGCATCATGGGATGAAGGCCGGTAACTTGATATGTGTGGAAAATATTACGATTTTGCCCCCTCCGTGACTGGATTTGTTTCTCGTAAAGAAAGTTACCAAACTACCAGCTCTCATCTTTGTGCTGAGACTATATATATCAGAGTTCTTATTATTATGACCACATCCTGTTTGTTGTTTTAGTGCACATGGGTCTCCACAGTAGTGTGCTAAAACACTTTTCATTCCTTTGTTTTCCCATTTATATTTGATTTAATGTGTTGCTCTCATAGGTCTGTTTACATGGCTGCCACTGTTAAGAATCATGTGAGCATCACCATTATATCCAAGACAGTAAAACTCTAACTTGAGTGTGCCTTAGTTATCTGAATGTACTTCCCTAATTTTTTGTTTGGTCTTTATGTTGTGATGTACTGTAAACCCTCCAACGTAAGCGTAGGAGTAATTAAGAACCATTTTCAGTTTGGGGTTTTATGATTCGCCTTTTGTAATCCCTGCGTGAAGTGAAATAAAGATGCGATAGACTGTTTGTATGCTTTTGAATAAACTTCAAACAACAGAATATCAACTACAACTAAACAATAAGCTGCATTTGCCTCAGTAAATGCCAAAGACACTGTAGACATATCATTGGAGTGAGACTGTAGTTACTTACGCTGTCCACATGATGGTGTCATATCAAAGAATGATCAGTGAGGAAACACATGAAGATTAAAAGGGAAAACACCTTTACAGCTTTCTCAACTGAAAATAGTGTCACATTATACTTTAAGTTAAGCAAAGGTTTAACTAAAAGCCAGTTTTACTTTTTGTTATACTTTTTTTTAGCAGAACTTCAACAGTTTTAAAGTTGTTTTCATGTGTTGGAGCACGCAACGTTTACAATGGTCTGTGATATTGTATGTAATACCCAGTGTATTAGATGTATTGTAGTATTGTTGTCCGCTGACATGTAAATAATGACAACACATTAAGGATATACAGTGTACTACTTCATACATTAAAATGTGAAAGGATTACAACAAACAAACAAAATAGATCAAAAGAAGATTGTAATAGAAGAATAACTGTAACACGTGTTTCATTTTTATACACAAACACTGTCTGTTTAAAGGTAAATAGGATTTGGACAGATTCATTTGGGTAGTGCACAAAATGGCCTTTTGAACACCCACCACTAACCATATCCTACATTATAACATTGGTGATGCTGAGATCTTAAGTGCATTTTCAAAACAACATACTCAATGGACAACTAATGGAATCAATGAATATTGATTGCACTGAATGTGGATATTGGTATTGAAATACACTGACTCTGCATTAGTTTGTAGATGGACTTTTAAAATAAATAAATACTGAGACATGAATGAAAGCATCCAGATAGACTGAAATATATTTTGCATGTTCATCATTATCTGTCTTATACTCTCTCCCTCTCTCTCTCTCTCTCTCTCTCTCTCTCTCTCTCTCTCTCTCTCTCTCTCTCACACACACACACACACACACACACACACAGCTACTCAAGTGTGTTTTCTACCTGTTTTTCAGTGTCTTTCTCTCTATGGGTGAGTTAAGGAAGTTTCATTAGAACAGGAGCGTCTTCTTGTGAATGATAGACAATGGACCGGACTGTAAGTTGTAAATACTGAACATAATGACTGTTCTCCCAGTCCCAGACCAACCACAGACAGACAGAGAGCCATGGAAACCATGAAATAATCATACAACACATATAATCATCAAGTTAATCAACCACCTAAAGAAAAGTGCCTCCTTACTGGAAGATTATGCAGACGTGTTTGCCTGCCATGGAAAAGTCAAGAAATATCTATAAAACTGAGGCTGTTACCAAGGATTATTTTCATTATCATGTAACATATTGATTATACAGTCAATTTTTTTTTTTTTGTCAATAAAACACTTGGCCCCTTTGCTGGATAATTGATGTAAACAAAACAAAATGTTGCTGTTTTGACATTTTGTGTCAATTAACTAATCAATTAATCGACTAATAAACATAACATCTCATTCTCTCTCAGAGAGATGCTGTCTATGTTTGATAGTTGAATAATCAATAAGTCTAATACATTGGGTGCTGCAACTAACAAGTATTTTTATTGTTGATTAATTTGCCTATTATTTTGTCTGATCAAGACCCAAAGACATCCCATTAACTGTCATAGAAGACAAAGAAAACAAGCAAATATTCAAATTTGAGAAGTCAGAACCAGTTTAATTTTATATTTTTATTTTCTCTTAAAAATAATGAATTACTGCCACTATATATATACTCATATGATAAAAAAAAAGTACATTAACTATTATTAAAAAAATAATATCATACTAATATTATTAGGAGTAGTAGGAGCAGAAGTGGTATCCTTGTAACTGTTGCCATTATTTTTATCAGTCAACATTTAAGTGACTCTTTATTCATAACCTACTATATATCCTCACATATGATAAAAGTACATTACATATAAAATGAACATTATACTAGTATTATTATGAGTAGTAGTAGTAGCAGCAGTGGCATCCCTGTAACTGTTGCTGGTATTTCCATGATGCTGTGCAATGTGTCCTGACATTATGCTGAAACAAAATGAGTTTTCCCATCTCCCGGCGGAAGTGGTTAGTGGAAGCGCTGGTGGACTGAACAGCTAGCTGGCTAGGGCGTTGCTAGCGGCAGAAAGTGGGATTTTGGGTGCCTTTCCGCAAGTTATATTCGCGTACAAATAACGCCTTGAGTTGGAAAAACCAGAGTTTGCCGTTCTCTAAAAGTTAAAAGCGCCTCGGTGTGTTTTTGTCGTTGTTTACAGAGGACTGGTGTTACTTTCTGTCCCGTTAGCTGGCCGCATAGCTAGCCTGCTTCCATCCACGGGAATTCTGCCGAGAAACGACTGAATTCTGGAAACATGGAGTCAAGGAGCGTTGCGCTGTGCTAACCGACTTCACTGGATTCCCTTTTCCTCAAGGAGACTGTTTTTATTTTTATTTTTGAAGGACATAACACGGACACATATCGCAAGCCAGTCAACATTCACGCAGTGTTGTGTGTGTATATATATATAGTTATATACATATATTTCGACCGTTGGCCGGTTCATTGTTGTGAACGGGAGTTTGCTTAGTTTGCACTCGAAACAAGAGCAGACGAAGTTTTTTTTTTTTTTTTTTTTTTTAAATGCTGAAAAGCTCATCTGTTTTGTTAGTTGGTAGCTGGTGAGATCCAACAACCAGCATTACCGTGAGAAAGGATTTTGTTTTAAAAGAAGAAAAAAAAACAATGTGCTTTTTTTTTTTTTTTTTTTAATATAAATCGATCATCTAACCAAGTGTGTGTTTGAATCTAGCGTCTTACACCGGTATAACATTAGCCGCAGTTGGTTTTTCTGCTAGTAACACTGGGCCGTTTTAACTCGGGTGTTGAAGCGTTTTTCTCATGGTCACGGGAGAGTCGTCCCCACAGACGCAGACACAGACAGGCATTTTCCGGGAGCAGGGAATACCAAATGGGACTGGAGGAATTTCCAGCATCTTAAAGATCATTTAGGGAAAAAACCGAGGCCATTCAGCCGAGAGCAAGGGGTGGTGGCAGACGGACTACATCGCCGGGGCCGAGGTGTCTGTTGCATTGGGAATACACGGTTTGTTTACACGTTTCGTCTCGGCGGAAAACTGAGGGATGTGAATGCAAAAAGGATTCATACGAGAGGAGTTCATACATGCACGACAACTTGTGCCAGCTGGCGCGGTGTATTTATTGTTGTTGGCTGAATATTGTTTATTGCCGGGGTAGGATATCATCTGACTGTACAGCTAATACGACAGAGGCCCCGGTTCACTGTGTATTCCTTCCTCCTGTTTTTGACCAGGAGTGTTGGTTAACAGATATGCTATAGGTAGTGTATTTGTTTTCCTATAGTGTTTTGGACGTCCCCCGGCAACAACAGTGTCCCTACAATTAATTTATGCCCCGACACCATTCTCAAAATCCCTGCCTACTTCACACGAATGCCAGAGAAGGACGCGCCAGGAAATCGCCTCATCACACTCTGGAAAATGTTAATCGGATATAATTTGCTGCAAATCTAGAACCGGAAGCCCAATGAGTGACACACAGTCCAGCTTCACTGACAGGTACAGTATATAACCCACCTTTTTATATTCTATTAATGCAGTCTGCACTGCCACACGCACACATTATGTCCTTTAAAGTCATAAAACATAGCATTTTGTTTTTTAAAAAAAAGTTTTTGATTTGGTTGTGATGAATCTGAAACACAACCCACAGCCCCTGATGAAAATATGTTTTACATGGTCCAAGTAAAGCACTTCTTTGTGGTGATGGTGCTCAGTAATAACTGTGTTATACAATCTAATTACTAAGGAAGGACATCAGATCTTGATGGAAACTCTGCTGATCTCAGCATGGATAATGGAGTTCTCTGCAGACAGTAAAGTACTACTTGTCCAAGGAGTGAGAAGGCCTGCCACTGTTTGTGTGCCAGGGAACAGGTCGTCTGTGATCCCTGTACATCTTTCAACATCACTATTACAGCTAAGCCTTTAAAGCTAACCTTCCCCTACACCTATTAAAACAATCTCTGGATTTAGACAAAACCTTAGCTTTGTCAAGTAATCACCTTATCTAAGGCATCAGTCAATTTAAACTCAAGGATTGGATGCTGCCCTTAAGACGAGCAGGCTACATAATGTGGCATGGCCTGAACAACACACTAAATGGCAGAGAGCGATCAGCCTGTACCATCATAAAGCCATTGTGGCATTGTGGTGTACGTTGTCAGTTTGCTTCTTACTGTAAAATTACAACAGTGTTTTTGTACCTGGAGAATAAAGAGGTTTCTATTCTCAATTTGATGCACTCTGGTAGTGAAACAGAGAAGTGAAGCTGTTGCATTACGTCGCTTCCCACGTGAATCCCACATACCTGCAGGAAAAAAGAGAAAAAAAACCTGGCCAATACAGCGGAATGTGGTCTGTAGTTTTAGAGCAGAAGGAAGCTTTGTTGCACAGGTTGGGATCTGAAATATCCTCATGGCTAGGGCATGAGCTAGAGGCTAAAGCCCAACCCCATTTTACATGACCCCCCTCCCCCACTGCAATGATGGCAACAGTGGCTGGCACCAACTGCTGTTTATAGTGTTTTTAAAAGAAAAATAATAGTATTACCACAACACTGTGCATGCACTTTTAACTAAACCAATAGATACCATCATATCTGTGGTTGCTTTCATCAGTAAAATGAACAAACCAGTGTTTTTCAATCACAGCAGCAGACTTATATTGGAATTTAAACTGCAGTTGATTGGGGAATAAATCACACTCCTGATGCCACAAAGCACCGTAGACAGTGCTGCATGTCTTGTGTAATATCACACAGTATATTTGGTCGTATCACATTTTCTGCTGCCTGTGAAGTTTTGAGACAGTGCTGCACAAATTTGTTGTCTGTTCATCTGCCCTTAAGTCAAAGCACGTGGGTTGATACATTTAGAATGAATT